GAGTTCCCATCATGCACTGTTGCACGATACTGTACTGGATGTTGCATTTCTGCCACCTACTGGCTGCGTTTATAACTACTAGACATTTTACCAAGCGTTATGAAAACAATGACCCTGGGTGGAGCCTTCAGTTTAGGCTCCACCCACATCAGGATTCACTCACCGAGCTCTCAGAGCGCTGACCGTGGATTTATCAATCCTGCAGTTGAAGAGAGGAGGGGGAGGAGGGAGAGAGAGAGAGGGGGGAGGTGCAGAGCAGAGCGACCTTTAACCCTCTAACTCCTTCCCCCCCGTCACACTCTCAGCCTGCCCGTGTCATGTCCACCTCCACCCCCGGTCAGAACGTGACCACTGCACTCGATGGTTAACATGACGTCAGGTTCAAATGTGGTCATGGTTCCGTGTGAGTCGTCTACAGATGGTATCAGTTCAGTCTACGTTTGAGTCGCGTTGTCCTCGTTTTAAATGTCGCTCCGTGTTCAATAAAACCTCCGACACATTCGACATATTTGTTTTATTTATTGTGTTTTTTTTTCTTGGTCCGACTTTTGGCCTTTGACCTCGATGCATGTAGAATTCAGTAAGACATGGTTTTTGGATGGAGCATGCAGGGGGCGCTCACGGGACAGTGAGCGCCCCCTGCATGCTCTGTGTGTCAGGAGCTTTTTAAAAAATAAAAACCACACCTAATTTTTACAAATGGTCTGAGCCGCCCGCCTGCTGTGCCTGCTGCTGCTGCTGCTGTTGCTGCTGTTGTTTAAATAACATCCTGTCACTGCTGCTGCTGCTCCTCCTCCTCCTCCTGTTTCCCTCTCAGACTAAAGAGCTGCAGCAGAGACGCTGAGACACAGAGGACAACATCATGTCTCCGTGGAGGAGGTCTGAGACGCTGCTGCTGCTGCTGCTGCTGCTGCTGACGGTGGCCGCGGCTCAGAGTGGAGACGGACGTGGGAACAAAGGTAACGCACACTCCTGACTGTCATACGAGTCTGAATACATATATACACACATATATGTACATATATGTGTGTATATGTATGTCTATGTAAAAAACACATATATATGTATAGACATAAATAGTCTATTAAGTTGAATATTTGAATACATATATCTAAATATATACATGTATATGTAATATATATACACATATATACATACATATCCTGTATACATACCTTGGTACTATGACACGTCTTTGTCGCGCACGTTTCCCGACAGAACAGCGCGGCCTCAGCTGCAGCGCAGACATCGCCAGGGAAGGAAACGCGCTGTCGTGCGAGCTGCTGACAGGACGACGCAGCGAGGACGAGGAAGATGAGGACGGCGAAGAGGAACCAGACGGCATCGTCAGGATGAATGTGTAAACATATATGTGTATATATGTATGTATTCGTAAATAAACATATATACACATATATATGTATATACATATTCAAATTAAGTTGAATATAAATATATTTAAATTTGTTTGTATTTTTTGTGCAACATTTTGAATATATGTATGTACATATATGTGCATGTATGTGTATATATCTAAATGTATGTATGTATTGAATATATATATATCTTCAAATATTCAAATTTGAATATATATTTAAATAATTACTGCACTATATGTTTGTATTTTTTGTGCAACAATTTGAATGTGTGTATATATACAGTACAGTCTGTGGTAAGACACGGGTCGGAGCGGCGATGACATCATCCGTCAGATCTGTCTCTCGCCCCCACACTCCTGATCTTGTGCCCGCAGCGCCCGCGACTACACACAGGTGGCGGTGAAGATGAACTGCGTGAAGGATGTTGGGAACACGCTGAGCTTCGAGGAGCCCCCGGTGGGCAACTTCAACCTGACGGTTCACCTGAGGAGAGGAGGCGTCATCACCACCACGGTCGACATGAAGAAGATCGGTAAACACTCTGTTCTGTTAGTACGATGAACTGGACCAGAGGTCACGACCTGGACCAGAGGTCACGACCTTTTTGGTCTTCTGTCTTTGTACTCACACAGAATTGGTACAGTTAGTACCAGAACCGTTCCAGAAGGAACTAGAGAGTTAGAGCGGGGCCTTGAGATACCTGTCGATCACATGTTCTTCAATGGAACCAATTAATTAGTTCCCGCCCCCAGAAATACACTATTAATTAGTTCAATTAACGCCCCCAAACTAAACATCAACAATTATAATAATAATTAAGAAAACAATTTATATTATTGTTACAAAAAAATGGGTAAAAATAACCAGAGAGGAACAGTGAAGGAGACAGCGCCACACAGTGGATGTTTCCTGGTATCACGAGGAAAATCTTGCAGAAATCGTAACTTCGGGGAGTTCGTATCTCGAGGCCCCACTCTGTCGTTGGTCAAACCTCGGTGACATCGGTTCGATTCTGTGCTCGCTGCAGTGAAGCCCAGATCTCCCTCCGTGCGGAACGTCACGTTTCACCAGGAGTCCGACGCGGTGTTCGTTCACGTGAGCACGCCGTACGTCCGAGACTACCTGACCACCGACAACCAGCTCTTCCAGCTGCGGATCTGGAGTTCCACGCACCAACTGGTTGGTCATGTGACGTGCGACAGTGATGTGAGAGGGCGACAGAACCTCGGAGGTCACAGGTGTGTTTGTCTGTCGTTCAGATCCAGAACATGACGTCCGAGACCGTCCTGAAGATCGACCTGCTGCATCTTCACAGGAACACCCAGTACTTTGTGAAGGTGCGAGCAATACCGCTGAAGGAGCTAGAGGGCGTCTGGAGCGAGTGGAGCAACACGTACACGTTCCGCCTACCAGAAGGTGAGGACGGGACATCAAACTGTGGACGTTGGAGACAGGAGACGGAGACGTTGTCTTATTCTGTTCTCTCCATCATCCTAGCTGCAGGACCGGTGTCTGAAGACGTCTGGGACGCCACGCCCACCCTGACCCTGGGTTTTGTTTCGGTTGTGGTGGTGATCGTGAGCCTCGTTATCTTTTGGAAAAAGAAGTATGACGTTCATCGTCGGACAGAAATTCTCTGAAATGTTTTGATCTAAAAAAAAAATTTTTTTTTCCTTTCCTGCTGCAGGATCTTCACCTACATGTGGCCAAACATCCCACATCCCAAAGACACGCTGGTGCACCTGTGCAAACCCAACAAGGTGAGCCGTCACCAGCCGCCATCTTATGTTTATTACACCGCTAACACCGCTAACATTGCTAACACCGCTAACATCGCTAACACATCGGAAAAATAATCCTGACCAGTTCCTGCTTCTCAGTTTTACTCTGGAGGTTAATCCAAGTGGCAGCGAAGGCTAACTGCACGTTAAAGGTATTAGGTCCTTTATTGGGAGGTCGTTATAAATAAAGATAAAACTGGAACCAATCACCATCACCGATATATTTTAAAAACTTGAACAAAACAAACAACAATTCACTTCCATTCCTCGGTGGAAACCAAAACCAAAACATCAACAACAACAAGTTTTCTTGTTGTTGTTGATGTTTTTTTTTATATATTTTGTAAAACAAATCCATCAACTCCGCTAGCTAGCTGTAGCACGATGCTAATGGACATGTAACATATTGCTCCTGTTGCTGTTTTTGACTCGACAGCACCTCCTGCTGAACTTCAACCCTGAAGTGTACAGTGCCCTCAGAGTTGCTCCACTGCAGACCAAACCCGTCAGGTCTGATCCGGTCCAGTCCACCGACCCAGGCCTTTTGACCGACCTGGTCCAACCTGACACCCTCCGTCCCGACCCAGTCCGGCCCGGTCACTCGGTCCAGTCTGGCTCCTTAGGTTCGGACTCACTGGCGTCCATCGAACTGCTCACGTCAGAGTCCAGCGGTCCGGCAGAAGACCTCTGCTCCACCCAAAGTTCAGACTGCAGGAGCACCACCAGCAACAGCACAGAGGAGTCAGAGCTCGCCGCCCTGCTGGACAGAAGCTGCTCCGACGGCGAGAACAGTCTCCAGAGCACCGGTCCCTCCTCGCTTCGTGGACCAGATTCGGGTGCTGGACCCGGGGACAGCGGCGGTTCCGGTCAGCAGGAGGAGGCCTACGTCACCATGTCCAGTTTCTACCAGAGCAAGTAGACGAAGAAACGGACGCAAAAAAACTGGACTCTCTGTTCACTTGACCTTAAGAATGTGTTCTTGTCCCATCAACAGGACCAACGTGACGTTGACTCTGTTGGTAAACGATTGTTGTCAACGTAATGACCAACAACCACGAATCACAACATCACGAGGCTGAAACGTCCAGCAGCTCAGCGTTCACGACGTTTTGTACGATTTTAAGTCCTCAGGAGTTTCCGCTTCATATGTAGCGTTTTTTTGAGCTGTAAAGTTTGACAGACAGATAGCTCCGAGTTAGTGAGTGAGTTAGTTAGTGAGTTAGTTAGTGTTGGAAACTACCATTTCGTTGTGTTTCCCACCTGCTCAGAAAGTTCCTTTTTTAAAAACAATCAGTTCCGACCAAAGGCGTCGATCGGAGATTAACGAGCAACTGCCGAACACTCACAACAGAGGCATAACCATAAATCGGCGCCCCCTGGTTCCGACCTTGGAAGTGCCTCATTATGACCGAGTGATCACATGATCAAACATTTGTAAAGCTGCTAACAGTTACGTCTAACCGCTAGCGATTATATCTTTTTTCTTTCTGTTTTTTTTTTACGTCGCTACTTTGTCGCTGTAAAAAAAAGCCACTTACTGACACCGAGATCAGCATTCGTCTTTACAGCGCCCCTCTGTGGTGGAGTACTAGATCACACGTGGATGAACAAAATCATTTCCCTCATCATTTGCTCCACATCACACACACAAGCATCGAACCTTTGACTTTATTTTACAAGAAACTGATTAAAAACAAATAAAAAATTCCGCAGCTACGTTACGTCAGAAACATGAACAGATGGTGCAGTCCCTCTCACAGCCTCCAGGCGTTCCTCATCATCAGGATGAAGTAGACGTCACTGTCTATGGACGCACTCACGCCACAGTAGTAGTTGACAAACTCGTCTTTGGTCACCTGTCAATCAGAGGTCAAGGGTCACAGCATGAGTGGGTTCACGGAGAACCACGTCCATCGACTGTTTCCATCAGAGACGTTAGTGAAACTGAACATGTGGTTCAAAGGATTTCTTAAATCATACGGATGGAAACAGTGATGTGTCAAAATAACATCAAATGATTCATTGTCAATTAGTTGATTGGTTGATTGATTGGTTGATTGGCTGATTAGTTGATTGGTTGATTAGTTGATTGGTTGATTAGTTGATTGGTTGATTAGTTGATTGTCAACAGGACGTTTGTACAAAAACACCACTAAACCAAAATGACACCAACGTCCTGACCAAATCACGATCCCACCACCATCACCTCCACCATCACCTCCACCTGCCCCACCTCCTGCCCCACCTCCTGCCCCACCTCCTGCCCCACCTCCTGCCCCACCTCCTGCCCCGGCTCCTGTGGTGTTTACCAGGGAGACGTTAAGTCAGAGTTTCCAAGCGTTTCTCATCATCACAATAAAGTAGACGTCAGTGTCAATGGAGGCGCTGACGCCCGCGTAATAATTCATAAACTCCTCCAGGGTCACCTTCAGAGGACGACACACACACACACACACACACACACACTCGTTAGCCTTCACTCACCCTCGGCCACAGCTGTCACGTCTCCAGACGTCCATGAATTCTGTCAAACTGTTATTGTTTCCTAATAATGTGGTGACATGATCATCTGCGTCTCAGAAACTTCTACGTCTGCACGGGTTTAACTGACCCTCGGACATTTATATCAGCCGTGTGGCGTTCACTGACCCTCGGACACACAGCGACTGTGGAGAATCTGTTATTTACTTTGCCATCTTTGTCATACGGCGTGTCAAAGCTGTCCAGAAACGTCCGGAACACCTGCTCTTCAGTCCACTCTCCGTTCTGGTACTTGGGGTGGTACTTGGGGTTGTAAACCCCCTGCAGGTCTTCGATGGTAATCACACCGTCGCCGGTCTTGTCCAACTTGCGAAAGGCTTGCATGATCACGTCCTTTCTGGCCTTTGACATGGGTGGCTGTCCGTTAAAGAAAAAAACCAAACAAACACATTAACGCTGTGACATCACACAGTGAACGCGGGCGACCGCTGATGTGTTCAATTACCCTGAGGGTGATTAGAAACTCGTCAAAGTCGATGGTTCCATTCCCGTCGCGGTCGAAGAGCTGGAACAGAGCGGCGGTCTCCTTCTTGTCCATGAAGAGGCCGAAGTCATTTAAACCTTTTGTGAACTCTTTGAAATCCAGAGAGCGGTTTTCGTCATCGTCCATGATCTTAAAGGTTCTGACAAACACAAAATAAACTCTTGAACATTCTAGTTGTTTTTATGTAAACTGTAACAACTCCCCAACTGTTCTCTTCAGAATGTAAATGGACTTTTATAACTTTATAACCAACGTTGATTTTCTATTTTCTGACCCATGAAGATATTTTTGTACTGGACCTTTAACACAGCTGGTCAGAAACTGGTCATTTTGATGGTATTTCTGACTATCGTTCTCATATATATATATCCATATATCGTCGGTGATATCATTTTACTGGGGGTCGCTCTTAATCACCCCCCTCTTTTTTCTCAGCAGCCCAGCACACCGTCAGAGTCGTACGTTGTTTTTTTACTACAAAACCAAACCTTTTTATACATATACTGTTTCTATTACACTGAATGTAAGTGACGTTTCATAACTTTGATTGAACTGAAATGGTCGATTTTGAAAAGGCTACGTGTGAATGTTGTCTCTCAGCAGTTTTGTCCAGTTCACAGCATGTAGACCTACACAGTCTGGAATCATCAGTCTACACGCCGGGCTCTGAACCCACTCCTCAACAATACTTTGATTCACACGTACCATAAAGAATACGACGCTTTCTGTTCGTTACATCAACGCAGATGTTAACGATAAACTAAACACAGACAGTGTGGTAACAGTTGGTGAAACAAATTTAAAGCCCAAACAAAGGCTCACGTGTTCCATTATGTTGTAAATGTATTGATTTCCTTAATTTGCATAAGAAAAGCCAGCGGACCAATCGAATGGCTCAGATCCAGATCAAACAGCCTCTGCAGGTACATGTAACAAGTGAAGGAAGTGGTTTAACATCAAATCATGTCAGATGTTATGGGATGTTAATTTAATTTAATAATAAAAGATTTTTTTATTTTTTTTTCCCCCTCACAACAAATGTATTAGTGACTTAGTGGTTAAGGACGCAGACTTGGGTCCGGAAGGTTGCAGGTTCGAGTCCACCAGCTCTGAGCAAGGCACCGTCCCCACACACTCAACAAACTGCCCACTGTTCACTTTGGTGACGGGTTAAATGCAGAGGTCACATTTGGTTGTGTGCAGTGATGTGTGTCACAATGACAAGGAGTTAATAAATAATAATAATAATAATAATAATGCCCCAAGATTAGTTACAAAACTTGCACAAATCATTTATTAATCTATTATTAAAACTTTGAAAAAAAAGCCTATGAAAAATGGTCTCATCATTCATGTCCTGTGGTTATTTGCTTTGTGCAAACTCTAAAGACCATAAATAACTTGTAAACAATAATTTTAATATTAAAATAAATAAATGTGCAGTTACGTAAAAATGTCTGTGATGTTTTTCCAAATGTCTGAGCATGAAACTGCTTCACATCCCGGTGCACGTTGTTACCACATGACCAAAGATAACTCACCTGCCCAGACCTTTGATCCCAGACGAGCCCCGGGTCAGACACTGCAGCCGGAGGCGTTCCACTGGGTCATCACACTCCTGCAGCTGACGCTTGGCCTTCTCCACCATCTCTCTGTCATGTCTGGACGTCCCAGCCATTCTGAAAGTCACTGTTGACACAGCGTAAACGGACAATTCAGTGCATAGGTACACACCTGTATCACATCAAAGCTACAATGCACATCATGGGGTTTTTTTTTTTCAGTTTTCTTCCAATGTTTCACAATATTTTCTAATACTTTAGAGAGAAATGATGAATGCATCCATCCAGGGCTGCTACTAGGGTTTTTTTTTTTTGCCCCATGAAAACATTTTTTCACAGGGTTTCTAATAGAGCTGGTCAGGAAGACAGTGGGAAAAAAATATTTTTTGATGCCATTTTCCATAAATCTATGTATTTTCATTCAACTTAAACATTTTTTCACAGGGTTTCTAATAGATTCTAATTCAACTTTGTATCATTATTTTATCTGCATTATAATTTTATTTGGGGTCCCTCTAGCCCCGCCCCCTTCAGCACCCCATAAATCCTCATACAAGTTGTACATCGTTTATTTCTGCAATACCAAATCTGTTGGTCTGCTTACTGTAGCATTTTATCAAAACGTATAATTAAAGGTTAGAAGTAAATATATGTTGAAAAACATTTTTTTAAAACAGTTGACAACGACACATTTCGTTGCAAAAAGAAGCTGGTTTTCCAATTCAAAGTGAAGAGGCAGTGGTTTATAAAATGGCAACATGGAGCATCTGTCAGTCACAGTAGCATTGGTTTAAACCTGGTCGTGGTAGTTGTTAGTGACGCTCGTGTTGGTTCTCCAGAACACACGGCGTCAACAACACGATAACCATCGCGATCTCTTGCAGTCAAACTTGTTTTTTTCTACTGAGCGAATATAAACACATCAACGCGTCTCATTGGTCAACATTAGTTAACAGTCAACAATAGTTAATAATCTACATTAGTTAACAGTCAACTATTTCCTGTTACGTGCAGCGGTCGCACAACAGCGTACAGACATGTAAACACGGCGCTAACACTTTCACGTCAACACTAAACGCTAACTTCCAACAACACGTCAATGTTTTTCATTCGTTTACGCAAAACACTACGTTTGTCACAGGTTCACGTGTTGGTATAAGCGAAACAACCCAAGACTTACCGAGCTCTTCTCTGACTCCTGCCCTTCCCTAAACGATCGCGTTTCCATGGTGACCCAAGTACCCTGCTCCCATTGGCCGATTACCTCCACGCAATTCGATTGTTTTCCTTCGAATTATTTAATGTAAAACCATACGACTGGTGTAAACTATGGCTGTAATCCCTCGTAATAAAAACCCTTTACTGCAATTTTTAAAGCATTATATTACAATATTTTAAGGACATGGCATTCATTTTAAGTACCTTTTCCTTTTTTTTTTAAAAAAAAAAAAAAAAAAAAAAAAAAAAAAAAAAAAAAAAAAAACAGAATATGACAAGAATAGAGACATCGAACAAGGTCAATAAATTACAAACTTTATTTTTTTAAGACAAAAGGCAAATTAAAAATAAATGACAATGTTATTTATGGAATCAGGGGGCAGGGCCAGGGCCGGTGGTGGTGGTGGTAGAGGCCACTGCTGTAGTAGTTGGGGCAGCGGAGGCTTCAGCGGTAGTAGTGGGACCGACTGTGGGTGAGGGTGTAGTAGTCGTGGCAGCCACCGTGGTCGTCAGAGCAGCAGTGGTAGTGGTGGAGGGCAGGGCTGTGGTCGTCAGAGCAGCAGTGGTAGTGGTGGAGGCCACGGTTGTGGTAGTCGGGGCGGCGGGGGTAGTGGTGGAGGGCAGGGCTGTGGTCGTCAGAGCAGCAGTGGTAGTGGTGGAGGCCACGGTTGTGGTAGTCGGGGCGGCGGGGGTAGTGGTGGAGGGCAGGGCTGTGGTCGTCAGAGCAGCAGTGGTAGTGGTGGAGGGCAGGGCTGTGGTCGTCAGAGCAGCAGTGGTAGTGGTGGAGGCCACGGTTGTGGTAGTCGGGGCGGCGGGGGTAGTGGTGGAGGGCAGGGCTGTGGTCGTCAGAGCAGCAGTGGTAGTGGTGGAGGGCAGGGCTGTGGTCGTCAGAGCAGCAGTGGTAGTGGTGGAGGCCACGGTTGTGGTAGTCGGGGCGGCGGGGGTAGTGGTGGAGGGCAGGGCTGTGGTGGTCGTTAGAGCAGCAGTGGTAGTGGTAGAGGCAACGGCTGTGGTTGTCGTTGGGGCAACAGTTGTGGTATACGGACCATCGGGAATTTCCTCAAAATCCCACATCTCAAATATTTCTTCATCTGACAACGTCACCTGAGTCGGCCGTGTTGTTTCAGTCGTGGTTTCATCTTCACACGGCTCAGGCGTTTCAGTCGTGTCAGGATTGTATACTCCACTGTACATGTCGTCATAATCCCACATCTGCCAAAAATCAGGCTCCACTGCCCGTCGCTGACGTTCTTGTATGTTCTGAGTTGGTTGGACACAAACTGCCAGTGTGGTGGCCATGTCTTTGTCCAAATTCATATAAAGTACTTCAAAAACAGAGTACTGCAAGAGATTCACGAGTTAGCCACCATTTCCTGTGTAATGAAACGGTGTTTTAGATCATTCTTACCTTCTTCGCCAGCAGTGGAATCTGCACCAACAGATCCCCGGAGATGGTGACATTTGTCAGAACTTTCTTGTTGTCGCCATCTTTATCTAGTGCTTTCACCCTCTTGAGTTCTGTTCCTGGAGGCAATTTTACAAGAACATCCCTTGCTCTGCATGCCACCAGTGGTAGCTGCAGTTGTGGAACTGGTAGTTCACAAGTAGCAACACCTGTCAGGGTTGTTTGGTGCAAATGGTCAAAGTAACGCAGTTTCAGCTGGTAAAATCTCTTCTTTCTGGATGTCTAAAACAAAAAACCAAAAAGAGCAACCGTTACAGCTTAGTGTTTCAGTTCAGGAGTTGACATTTTAATGACAACTAATCAGACAAATGTTTGAATTATGCTATCACTTGCAAAGCTATGTGCGTAGGTGTGCTCAAGTAGTAGCTTTAGAAATTTTAAGTGACATTGTATCACTTAAGTCAATACGTAGAGTGCAGAATTAAATAATGTACCCTCAGAACTTTATGGCAGCTCTTATAAGGCAATTTCAGTAGTTGCCACGACCCAAATGTACGAAAGGTCACGAGACATTGGTCGGACAGGGACAGCAATCGCCTCCCATCTGTAAATGGGTTGAATCACACATACAAATACAACTGCATTATTCTTCAGTATGAGTATTCTCTTACAAGACTCTCACATCCCAAACAGTACTGCAATTCATGTTAAATTACATTTGGAGTCAAAGTTTGGGAGCAAATAAAACTTACCAGGCAGCTGCAGGTCTTTATGTTGAACAAGCGAAAACCGAATATACAGCGATCCGTTACTACAGCCATACCGAGGACTCCCAAATGCTGACGTCTTGCCTCCATCTCCAAGTTCTGGCCCAGAGCGATTCGCAGTTTTAATGAGCGACTAAAATCTACAGCTGATTTCCTCAAACATTCTTAAATTCAAATACAAACTCAAAGTACAAGGAGTGAAGAGTAGCAAAAAAATCCCAACTAAAATTATAGTACAAGGAGTGAAGAGTAGCAAAAAATATCCCAACTAAAATTATAACTTAAACTATAAATGTGTTATCATTAAGTTTATTAAATAAGCTAAATTAACAATTTGTTCCCATTTAATCAAATATATTTCAATCTCATTCCTCTTCATCTGTCTACAAAGTAGATAGATCTGTAAGACAAACTTATTAGAACTGATTTGTGGTAACGGTACATTCCTGTTATTTACACAAGTCAGGAAAAAGTCAGACATTTAACATGCTAAGAAATGACATCAAATCCAGACCTAAATCTTAAAAAAAAAAAAAAAAAAAATTTACAATATTTAATCTGATTATAACAAAAACTAGAACACAGAATAGTAAAAACTGACGAGTGAGTCAAAATGTCCGACTCGTGTCAGAATATTTTTTAATTACTGACATGGGTTTTTTTTTCCTTCCTTTTTTTAAAAAAATACGGATTTTCTGATAATACACAAACCATATAATTACTGCTTTTCCCAATTTTGGAGACTAGGGCTAAAAAAAGTTGAATACCTTCTTGTGTTAGACACTAGGTTTGATGCCGGAGCTGGACCACAAAATGGCGCCAGATTTTAAAAACGTAGTTAGTGATACGTTAACTGTCTTACCGTGGACAAACCTCCACGCCAGGACTGGGGAAAATTTATCGCCGCTGCCTGTCTCCACCGGCGGCCCAGAGAAGGGGAACACCGTGTCCAAGGCTCCATGTCCGCCCTGGTCCAACTTCTCTGTTGTATAATGGCGGGCCAGAGTCACTAAAACGACCCAAACGTAGGCCGCCGCTACCACCGTCCATCCCGGAGCCACAGACATGATGCAGCCGCTGTGCTGCTCTCTACTCGGCAACAACACCCGACCGTGTCTAACGAGGTGCTTCCCTGGAACATTATTATAACCGCATCCCCTAAACTACCGACACCTGCGTGTGCTGCTAATTGGATAATTACAACCAGAAGTTGATGCAGAGTTTGCCGGAAAATGAGACGAATAGTGGTGAAGGAAAAACAACTTTTATTTACCAGCCCATATATAAATAACAGCTCTTTTGCAAAGCATGCGTTTCCAAACCTGTATGTCCAGTTCATTCACACACACACAGTCACATTTATATGTTTTAACCTCTTCAGGCTTAGTAACGTTAATCTCTTTAGTTAGTAACTTTAGTTAGAATCTCCTAGCGCGAGCAGGTCACTAACTACAGAGACAGAAAGTAACTTTTTTTAAACAGTACAATCTATTTGGATTTATGATTATTTGCACTTAGTTATGGAAACCTTTGGGAGAAAAATTATTATTATAATAATTTATTATTATTATTATTATGATTTAAGTATTCACTAACCAGATGCTGAGTTTTGCTTTAAAAAAAGTTTGGCAAATATAAGCACATCTGTCATTTTGAACATTATTTTAAAAACCGTTCTGAATGGCTTTAAAACTAAAGAACTTATTATGGACTTGAATATATATATATATATATATATATATTTCTCCTGTTGTGGTGCACAGTGGCTCTGTGGGAGGACCCTTAATTTCGTTGTAGCCCCGTGTTACAATGACAACAAAGGCTATTCTATTCTGATTCTCACAGTTTAGCTTTGTTCATGCGGTTCATCAGTTTCATTAGACAATAATTAGACAATTACCATGTCACAGACACTGAGCCACTGAGCATTTACGGCAATTTGACCTCTGAACTCTTCGGCCATACCCAGAACACACATGGATGGTATTCAGGACTGCACCTGCTTTACCTGACAGGAGGGTTTCAGGCAATTCCAAATTCTGTTTTCAGTAGCCTGTTCTAAGAATCCAATGGTGGTAAAACAAATCTTTTGGTTTCTCTCCCAAAGTTCTTGGTCATTTAAATAATTTTTGTCCTTTGATTTGTTTACGCTACATAAACCCTTTGAGACCCGATGTAGAGAAATGGGCGGCCCTCACGACAGCTCCAGTGTTGGCGTGCCTTTGGCGACACCTAGTGCTGATGCTGGGAAACTGCTAATAATGTATAAAAAAACCCAAGTAGGCATCAGAGTGATGTGAACGTCAGAGACGCTTAAGAAGGATTAACTCACAAACGTGTTTGCAGTTATATGGGTGAATGTGAAAGAATGAAGTGTTGAAGAAATTGTTATTATTCAGTTTGTCACGTCCACCTTCATCTCGGACCGTTTCTTTTTTACCTTTACGTGTGTGCTGTCCTGACCAACGGCATTTACAAGAACAGTTTGGTGATGACTGGAAAGTCAGTTGACAGCACGGAAAGACGGCAACCCCGGCAAGTTGGATGCTAGCCCAGGTCTGTCCAGTTTCACCCTCTGCAAACGGATCCAACTCAGCACCAGGTGGTGCCAAGGTGTATGGCCGGTCAGACGACACGATTACAAAGTCAATCATTGACCTTCGGCTTAGGGTGTCCTGGTGCCACGTGCACTGATGGACACCCTTACGTTTGAACATGGTGTTCATTATGGACATTATGGTGGTAGTATTGTGCTAGCACAGATCTCCAATAATGAAACACTACTCAGGTTCAGATCGGGGAGGCTGTTCCTGCCGATCAAGCCCCTCCAGGTGACACTGTCGTTGCCCTCGTGAGCGTTGAAGTCCCCCAAAAGGACGATGGAAGGCCGGGTGCTCTGCACTACCATTCGGCCCGTAGGCCAAAACAACAGTGAGAGACCTATTCCAAGCGATCCTCTCTAATAATGTGCTTCCATGTCCCCATAGCTAGACTAAATGTCCAAGGTTAGGGCAGTCGGGGTCACCCACCCAAATCACAAGGCACTGACCCCTTGCGGGCCTTCCTGCGGGTGGTGGGTCTACTGGGAGGAGGGCCCACATGGGCAGAGCCCTAACCCTGGGCTTGGCTCCAGGATGGGGCCCCCTGGTGGTGTTAATTAATTGATGACACATTTAAGTAATATTTTAATTACTTTACATCTGTTGTTCTAGAGGTGACAAAGTCATGAAGCTCAGACACTTTACAATCATGTGGTTTAATAAAAGTGTTAAAAAAAACATCATGATTATTTTAATGCCACAATGACATCACCTGTTTGTAGCATTCGAGCAGTTCTTGTTAATATTACAGTACATTACAGTTGTGAAGGCAAGACGTAGCACTAACACCAGTGAGGATCACACCTGGAGCCTCTGGTTCTCACAGTTTAGCCTTGTTCATGCGGCTCATCAGTTTCTCCAGTTTGATGGCGACAGACATGTCCCCTTTGATCCGCAATTTTCCAGACATGAACGCCATCGTGGGCTTCAGTTTACCTGAAATAAATTTAAAAAGTTGATAGATTATTCATTCCATTGTCATATTTTGTTTGTTTGATGGTCACGGTGTTGACGGCAGACCTGCAAACATCTTGCAGAAGTCACTGGAGTCCATTGACATGATCACATCAGCTTTGACTGGTGGCTGTCCCTGTCCCGTAGAACCAGAGCCACTCTTCAAGTCCAGAAACCAAACCCCAGCGTGTTCACCTGATGACGTCATGACATCGTTAATATGAATGACACCACCTCAGGACCTCCATAAACGCCCAGAACTGACTGCTGCCGTTACCTGACAGGTCGAACTCATAAACGCCCTGCGTTGACTTCACCACGTCTTCGTTGATGGCCCCTTTAATTATGCTGAATGTGCCAGCTATTGGTCCACCAGAGGGAGCTGTGGCTGAGGAGGATGGGGGCTTGAAGGCAGGGGTTGCCCCTGGCAGTGGGAAGACAGAGGGCAGTTCACAATACCACCAGTAGTGTCAACAGTATTTTAAATATTAGTATTACTCCCTGTAGTCCTGTCAACAGCATCAGCACTAGTACTCCTTACAGTACTTATTATACCAGCAGTACCTTACAGGACTTGTCATAGCTGATTAGGTACTGCCTGTTTTTTTACTGTATATTTGTACTGGTACTGTTGACAGTAGAACATGCAGTACTCTCTGTAAGGCTTTGTACCTGTACCAGGAGTACCTGTACTCTGAAGCAGTACTGATTCAGCTAGTTGTAATTTACAGTACTGTTTATAGAACTTGTACGGTGAACAGTTCTAGTACAACTGTTTGTAGTACAGATGCTCACCGTGCTGCTCCATCTTCTCGACCAGGGTCTCTGGAGTTTCATCCAGGAAGAAGTCTGGCAGCAGGGGGTGACCTGTTGACCAACCAGACGTTAGAGAGTAAGAGTTCTTGACAACGAAAAAAATCGGTTCGAGCTCAGTAAGCACAACGAGAAGAAATACATGAGGCGCACTGTCGATTTCTGAGAAAATTAAAGGCTTTGAAGTGCGCCTTATAGTGCGGAAAATACGGTGATTCATTATCACAGCCTACCTGGTTCCACAGCATACTGTTCAAGGTCTTGGACTCCCTGACCTTTCAGGACATCTTCATCCACCAGGAAATGACCAGTGTAGTCCTTGGGCTGGGACAGGACGACATAGGCAGCATCGGCTATGATGTCAACAGTACGGCACTGCTTAGCTACTCCCTCTCCACCCAACATGTCCATGGCTGCTGTCTGAATGGCTGTTGGAAAAATAAATGAATGTGAGGTTAGCATGTTAGCATAGTCAGGGTAGACAATAATTAGACAATTACCATGCCACAGACACTCACCAGTTTTTGGCCACAGAGCATTTACGGCAATTTGACCTCTGAACTCTTCGGCCATGCCCAGAACACACATGGACATGCCGTACTTGGCCATTGTGTAGGCTGAAAAACAAAGATGGTATTCAGGACTGAAAAGGGTATGATGTTAAAAGACCTGAAACCCTCGATGACCCCAGGAACATCACTGATGATGCAACCCAACGCATCTTAGAGATGTATGTAAATTCCGATTGTTATTTAAGATGAAAAGAGAATTTAAAAAAAATTCAGAATGAACCAACTTAACAAGCTTTGTTTCCATAAAATGTTTCAACGCTCACTTTCGATGCTTCAATAATTCTAAGTCTGCTCACATGTGAATGAGTGTCTTTTAAAACATGGTCCAAAAAGAGCATTAGCAGCATGAGACTGCTAAACAGGAGACGTCTGCTGACACTGTAACCAACTGTAGTACCTGTGTGGTTCTTGAACCACACTGGGTTGAGGTTGAGTGGAGGTGACAAGTTGAGGATGTGAGGACAGCGACTCTTCAGAAGGTGGGGAATGACCAACTTAGACCTGAAACAGAGACACAGACACAGAGTGAGAACATCAGCCTGTTGTTCTCAGAGAACATTTGTTTGAAGTTTCTCTCTCTATGAAACTGGGGGCCAAATCTGGCCCACGAGATCACATCAAATGTGTATGAGAGTTGAGTACTAGAGATTTGTAGTATTAGCGGTGAATGTGCAATGTTATAGCACATACATTTTGGCTACAGATAAAGAGACAAACACCACTGTTGTGAGTTTGATTTCAAATGTAATGTCTTTATAACATTAAGTTAAGTTGTTCCAGTTTTAATATTTACGCAATAAATATTAAGTTTGGCCAGCAACTTGGTCCCAGTTTTTAATTTTGGCCCACTGTGAATTAGAGTTTCCCCCTCTACCCCCACCCCATGACATGGTGCAAACAGTTTGTGTTTGTACGGGATTGTTACACCTACGTCAGGTACGTCCCTCTGAGGTTGATCCCCAGCATCAGATCCACCTTCTTCATGGGGGTCTCTAAAGTTCCAGTCAGACTGATGGCACTTGCGTTGTTCACCAAAATGTCAATACCTGACAATGGAGCACAGAGACACTGATGACGTTACTGCAGAACTTACTTCAGGTGGAGGAGTGAGGGGTAGAATACGGTACCTCCAAAGGTTTCTACTGCTTTCTGAACGGCCTCCGTCACCTGCTTCTCATCCCGGATGTCAACAACACAAGGCAACGCTTTCCCCCCTGCTGCCTCCACTGCAACTCACACAAAGACCAAACACAAAGTCAGATCTGACTCCTAATTGGTTCAAAGTGGAAACACAACCTTTTATTTTAGCCCACAGATGTGTAATTTCCATGATGTTATATTCTGAGAACTACTGTTAAGTTTAACTTCAGTTAACTGTTAACGAGTTATTTTCATCAGTGGTCCAATCCTCCTCGATGCTGCGTGAGCTTCTCACCCTCCTGAGCCGCAGTGTAGATGGTCCCTGGTAGTTTGGGGTGAGGCTCAGCCGTCTTGGCTGCGATGATAATGTTGGCTCCATCCCTGGCAGCTTTTAGAGCGATGGCTTTGCCGATGCCGCGACTGGCTCCGGTAATGAAGAGCGTGCAGCCGGCTAACTTCCTAATAAAAAACACAGTCATAAAAGGAGTTTTGACATTGTCTGGGTTTTTATCTTGTTTACAATTGTTGCAATTGGAGAAAAGTTCTTAGTAAAAACTCTTGGCATCATTTTTTCCCCCTCAATCTTTGCTTCATAGGAACCTGTTTTATGAAGCAACTTTTTTGAAGCGACAGTTTTTGAAACTGAGAGCTACTTCAAAGTCCTAGTAATACAGAGAGCTACTTGTTTGATACAGACTTCCCAAACAATGTAATAACAATCAGTTCTGGGACATACAATAGTAGACACTCTTCTTACCATCGCCATTACACCCATTTGAATATCATTACAAGTGTAAATGATTCACAAAGACACAGTAACAGTACAATTTTTTGACCCTCTTGTTGACTAGTATTATTTTTAGAACATACCACCTTAGGTGACCCCGGAAGGGTTGGTGACTCCTGCTCTAATAAATGTACTTATGTGCCAATAGTGTGTACCGTACGAAAGCGTATTGCTGCCACACTGAGGGGAAAAAATTGGCTCAGTTTCACGTAATTACGTGTTAAGTTTCACGTTATTTCGTGATAAGTTTTACGTTATTTCGTGATAAGTTTTACGTTTTTTTATTTTTTTTTTAGTGCTCTTATACCGTGGACAGAGCATACTGTATATATACATGCACACCTTAGCTCATGATACGTGGACTTTGGTTAGCATAACATCAAGAACTATACAAAGTCGTTCAATGTTTTCAAGAGACGAAAAAAAAAAAGAGATCGTCCAAAAGAGAACATTCCTTGGAAGGAGTAAATTCCAAATTCAATATAAAAACATGTTTCGTGTGTGAGAACATGGAGTCGTGTGTGCACTCACCCTGTGTTTTGCAGCATTGTCTTTAAAATCCTCAAACTTCGAATCTATGAACAAGAACACTGCAAATATTACAACAGAAACACTTCACCTCTCACCCACAAGAACTGGAAGGACAACCGGAAGTGACACTAAACGTCACGTCCGATATGGACTGGAGACGACGATCTGAAATAACAGTTGTTATTATTACTACTAAATAAAATCTTAATAATAACAACTCGTGTTGCTGTTCCTTTTTTAATATGACTACACTTAGTAGCTAGTTTGATAAATACGTGTGTTTTGTCGTCCATCAATATGAAGCTAAATCCTTCATGATATGAGAAATAAAGTAGAGATGTAGCCCAGTGTAGGTTCTAAAAGTCTGTTTTTTAATTGTGGAATTATATATTTCACAATTCAGGCAATTACTGACTGATATAATTTTAGCAACTGTAGACCGTGACAGGAGAGCTGCTATCTACGAGTAATATTGGCAAAACAAGTACTTCATATTAGCCAAAAAAAATGATAAAAACAGGCTCAACTGTACCTCAATCAGTCGAAAAAATGGTCACAACGGAAGCCCTTAAATAACGAGGAGTTGAAGACATACACTTGTCTCCGGATGGTTGCAGGTCACAGGTTCCTGTACCTTGGTACCTGATTTTCCTGGATATTTTATATCAGTTTATCTGTAATGACTTCATTTAAGTCGTATCATTAAAACATTAATTACTTGATATAGTGGTCTTCTTCCATACTGTATATTATTCACTTCGATCAGTTTTAATGTACATTATGATCCCTATGCTTCAGTTAGTTAAACAATAATTAGTGAACTGCAGTCATATTAAATAATCTAATAAAATGTTAATTTCATGTTTATGTCAACATTTAGTTTATCAAAGGTATTACATATGTAATAACGTTGTGTTTCGCACATTACGAATATCGATTACTATTGATCCCTCTCATTTGAGGTGTGTCCCTCAGCCGCCATGTTCTCCCGTGACGTCAGCAAACGGGAAGTGAGCTCGTTGTTCTGCGCTGCCTGGCTGCGGAGCGGGACGCTCGCCGACCAAAACAACAACTCTTTCTCCTCTTCTTCCTCCTCTTCCTCCTGGTGGACCATGGAAGGGTGAGCGCAAGAGTCTTCTAGAATCTTTCCTGCACCTCCCGCATGTTTCTTTGCCTTTCCCTTCTCGCGTTTCCTTGGTGACTGGACCGCACCTGCGTGAGCCTCTGCTGTCTACTCTCCCTCCGCCTCCTCCGTGTTGTTGTTTATTTGTTGACCGTAATGGCTTCAACGATGCACATTTTTACACCCTGCGCTGTATACTCACGAAGTCGTACGCTGTGTGTACGTGTAAATTGCCGCTTGTTGGGGTTTTCTTGGTTTGTTTTGGTTTCGCAAGCGAACGAGAACGGTTAAGGCAGTGGGCGAATGATTGTTGAAGATCTCGCGGTAATTTGTATTCCCGTACACAATGAACGGTGTTCTCTTCTATCGTGAATGAACAAACGCACACAAGAACAGCAACAGACGATCAAACAATCGATGTTTGCTATTGAATGACTATCCACTCGTTAGGTTTTAATGATGAAACAAACATTTAAGAAAGAATTGTTATCAGATTTAATCCCACGTAAGTCACGTTTTTAATTTACTTGATTAATATAACAATTAAAAACGTTTTAACTCAACGGAATTCAACTGATTATCTGAAAGGAACTAAAACTAGACATGCAGGTTACGATGTTTAAGTACCTTACCCCAAATACTGAGGCCTGATGTACCGGAGAGTGAATCCCAGACCAGGACAGTCTTCAGCAGCTCTTATAAAATCCCAGACAGTGACAGTAGCTGGTTTTGATGGTGTCTCGGCTTGTCAGTCAAGCCATAAAGGGTGAAAATACATAAGAATGAATATGTTGACAGCTCGATTGTCTCTCTCTCTCTCTCTCTCTCTCTCTCTCTCTATATATATATATATATATATATATATATACATATCAAGCAGCTATATTTATTTAAATAGGCATCAATGAATATTTCACCACAAGCTTGGACAAGTATAGAGTGAAAAATCAAAAATACAATGTCCTACTTTTGTTGAATTTCGATAAAGGCTGCAATAGCTGTAGTTGTGTCACATATGGATATCATAACATAATAATAATAATATCTTAATGTCACTTTGGGTTTCTGAAATACATGCATTAAGCCCATCACCAGAATAACAAAAATACATTCATTTTACTAGTCAATGTGTACATTTTTTATTTATTTCCTCATTCTTTTCATTTTTCTCCGATGAGCATTTCTAACACATTTATAAGAACGTAAAGTCACCTGCTACGTTATTCTTCTACGTGTCTTCAGGTGTCAGCGTTTACCTCTTCTCTCAGCTGCTCTGCGAACATGAGCACCGTCAATTTGTCCACAGGTGAGACTCATTCAGCCTCCCTGTGTCTGACACCCTCCATCAGTGAAGTCACGTGACACGTTTGATGATTTCAACTTAACCCGTGTTTGTGTTGTTCCAGTGGATGGCACGGGTAGATTGTGTGTTCCTGAGCGTGCGCAGAGCATCCCATCTCGGGTCCTCCATCTGCGTCAGCTTCCTGTCGACATCTCTGAACAGGAAGTGCTTGCTCTGGCCCATCCTTTTGGCCGAGTTACTAAACTGATCACATTGAAGACCAAAAATCAGGTGGGTGATGAGATACTCAAACCCTCTTTTCCCATCATGCACAGAAACATAAAACAACGTAACATCACTGTTTTCACATCAGTAAGTCAGAGTTTTTACCTTTACTACCCTCTGCTGGTTAGCGCAGGAAGCACTTCAGAAAGTCTCAGGTGTACTCAGGCGTTTCTTATGAAGTGCTGAGTAACCAGGGTCTTCTTAAAAAAAAAAGCTGACTCAGCACATTGTTTCCGAAGTGCTCAGTAAGGTCGGTGGTCGTAAACAGATGCTGAATTGGCACCGTATTAGCACAAAGTCACGGGGTCGGTGGTCGTAAACAGATGCTGAATCGGCACCGTATTAGCACAAAGTCACAGAGTCAGAAAAGTCTTACCGTGTCCAGTTTGTGTTCTTCACCTTACGGACTTCTTTTCCTTTCAGGCTTTTTTGGAGATGGCTTCCGAGGAAGCAGCGGTTACCATGGTGAACTACTACACTTCGGCCACGCCTACTGTCAGGAATCAGCCAATCTACATACAGTACTCCAACCACCGTGAGCTCAAGACTGACAATCTGGCTAATCAAGTAAGGGGCAAATGTTTAGGCCACACCCACCACCGGAAAAAGCCGTGTGTTTAAACATAAATATGAACACATCATGTTGCAGGAGCTTTGAATATTAAATCACTTTCATCCGTTGACAGAGGGCTCAGGCAGCACTGCAGGCCATCAGTGCTGCTGCAATGCATACTGGGAGCATGGCGTCAGGTGGAGAGGGACGCAGCTTAGTCCCCGGTCAGGGTCCTGTGCTGAGGATCATTGTGGAGAATTTATTCTACCCGGTGACACTGGAGGTGCTGCAGCAGGTCTGTGTTCAGATCATAACGTTTCCATCTGTGGTGTTCAGACACGTTGAAGCTTCATGTTGTTTCTCTGTTGTTTGATAGATTTTTAGTAAATATGGCACCGTCCTGAAGATCATCACCTTCACCAGAAACAACCAGTTCCAGGCTCTGCTGCAGTACAGCGAAGCCGTGCACGCTCAGCACGCCAAGGCGGTAAGACCCCCCTCTCGTCCCCCCCGTTCACAGTCACACGCACGCACGTTTGAATGTCGTCTGTGGACCAATCAGATTGTAAGGTGTGTGACGTCCTGTCCTTCAGTCGCTGGACGGTCAGAACATCTACAACAGCTGCTGCACACTACGGATCGACTTCTCCAAACTGACCATGCTCAACGTCAAATACAACAACGACAAGAGTCGTGACTTCACCAGAGGCGACCTTCCCACCGGAGAACTGGAACCCACCGCCGCCTTTGGTGAGACAAACTAAACATGACAGTAACTCTGCGGTGCAGACTCGCCACGTTGACCAAACACTGGGTCGGCGTTGGTTCCCAGCTTCACTTACAGCTGTGGACTGGATGGTGGGGGGTTCTACCCCGGGCCACAGGGCTAACCTTACAGTTGGGGTCGCACCAGTATCTGGTACACGAACATCTACGTGGGTTGGTGCTCCCACTGAGGAGATCCCAAACTACGAGACAATTGCATCGTAATTTCAGTGTGATAACAGTAAAGGAAGTGTAAGTTGATGAAGAGAGACGAGGTACGATAAGAATTCTTTACCAGCATTTAGACTAACGAGTTATAACAACAAGAGTAACAAGTCTGTTACACTGTATATTACTGTGAATGAGTTACTTGGAGAGAAGATGGAGTGAACCAATCAATTACAGATATCTGATAGATTTACTTTTGGTCCAGATCTGATTTGCCGATATCGTCCAAACACTTCAGTTCCAATTCCGATATCAACCGATACCGATATAACAGGGCAGTGGTGCCCTGGTGGTTATGGAAGTGAAGTGTCGCCTGCTCACTAAGGTGATGGGTTAAAGCAGTGTTTCTAAATTACTTTCTGCCCCCCCCCTCCCCCCCTCGTCCTGATTATTAAAATAGATTCATATAAAGAGCCGCAATGCTGCCATCTAGTGACTTTCACTTTCACATACAGCCATTTTTCCCCCTAAAGACATTATTTGAAACGAAACCCAGACATTGCGTTATCGGGTTTTCATTACCAGAGGGAAAACGGATAACGATTCTTACAGATTTGACATAATTATGCTAATATCGGACCGATAATATCGGTTGGCCGGTCCCTAGTATCAATCGGTGGGCTACAATCGGTGGGAGAGCGAGAGAGAGAGAGAGAGAGAGAAGACACTGAGTGTCTGAAGTTTGATCAATCAATCATTGAACAAAAACAGTTGAGTTGAATTAACTGATAAAGCGTCAATGATCAACTGACGCCACAGTAATACAACAGCTGACGTCACCTGTCGTCAGGTGACGCCACCTGGCGGCAGGGGGCGGTACACGGCGGCCAGGGGCCGCCGGCGGGGGC